CCCCCTTGGAATTGATTTTTCAATACAGACCCCCCCCCTCTAAATTCAATTCTCTTCCTGGAGAACGTCTTCGTGAGCCTCTCATGATTTCAGGATAGTTGAAACCCTCTTGAACATTCAGAAAGAGTGCATATGAAATTCTAATCACGAAAGGTGTTCCCCGAGGGGATACATACCTAGAGTTTGTTTTGTGAAGCACGTCCATTCTCTCCTGGGGAACGTCTTCGTGAGCCTCTTATGGTTTCAGGATAGTTCAAATCCTATGATGCTCCGATTCAATGCTCACCGATGATCTGAGCCATGGGGCAAGTTTGTTTTCCTAAGAATCTTTTTGAACATTTCGAGAGCGTATGTCTGAACATTTAGAGTGCATATGAACGTATATTTACGAAAGGTCGCCTCCGAGGGGATAAATCACCATGTCGAACATTGCATTTTTGTTCCTGCCTCTCGCGTTCTCTTCTCTTCCCGCTGTCCTACCTTTCGTGTCTCCCTCCTCTCAAGTGGCAACGATTCAGTTCTTTAGTGTTTGCTCTGCAGAATGTGGGGCGTATATCTTCCAAGAAGAGCAACCTGCAGCCGGACAGTGGACCAAGAGTTTTGAAGCCTTGGATCCGTTTGCATCTCTTGGAGAGGGACGATGGAGTGATGCAGTGGGAACGGATAACGAGTTGAAAGAGTGTGGAAAGCTGATGAAAAAGCGGACAGATCGGAGAGTCGCCGAGGATCAAGTTCCGTTTCACGGGACCGAGAAACTAGAAATGAAGTGTTCCAAGCCATTTCGTGAAGCTGACCGATGTACATGTGAAGCATGATGTATATTGTTTTAGTGTGCCGACAGACTTTAATACTCTGTTCTAGAAGTGATTTGTAATTGACCAGCAGCTGAAGTGCAACTCATTCACACGGGTTTTGGCCTAGTGAGCCGCAAGGACAGGAATCCGCTGGTCGCCAGACGTGCAAAGCAGGCCAGGGATGGAAAAGTAACCCGTCAAGAACACTCAGAAGAAAACAAAAAAAAGGGGTTTGAGGCCTCATCAAAGAGGCCTTCAATTTGTTTAACGCATTTTTTTCTTGAATTTGTGGGATACTATTCTCTTGATATGGACTTGAGGCGTGAGGAGAAGGCAAAAAGCAGATCTTCGGACAAGGTGGGCGACCGATCTGGTATCTCGTTTCAGGTTTTGGGCCTTGACTCCGTCGACACCAGGGCCATAGAAACGGGGGTTTCTGGAGGTTTGAGTGCCATGTCCGTCACCCTGTGATTGTAGCCGTGCCAGTTTTTCAAAGCAAGAACGCTGTCCCGCTCGCCCCCGCGACCTTGCCTTTTGGTGGAGACACGTAGAGTGGGTAGAGTGCAGACGTGACTGTTGGTGACTGCTCGGTCAAACACCTCACAAAAGGCGTGCTTCTATTAAAGAACTCTTCCTTCGCTGCGCGCAGCGAAAGGTTCCTGTTGAATCTTGGAAGATGGTCGAAGTCGTGTTCGACGGGTATTATTTCGGCCTTCTTGTCGCCTGAGCTTGCCTGGCTGCATCTGGCCACCATTGCAAGGATACCATCTTAAGACGAATTATGTCCAAGAAAGGCACCTTATTTTTACGGGAAACATTCAAGGCAGGTGCCTTCATCACGGGGGGGGTGACATTCCTGTCGTGGAAGGTGGGGTGCCGCTTTGTTCCTCAGAAAGCCTGTATATATTGAATTGAAAGTCCACGCATATATCATAAATGCACTCGAATCCCACCAGATTGAAGCTTAGCCTATCGAAGGAAGCTTAGTGGACACAGACGAAAAAGGCTGGTGTGAGAATGCGACAAGGCACCTTCAACATGTGTGGTTTGGCCACGGGCTCACCGGTGCGTGGGCTGGGCACGGCTGTTCACTGGCTTCGAATGGTGCTAGTGCAGTTGCAAGAATTTGAAGTGGGACTCTAAAGGCAGTTTGTGCGCCGAGCGCGCTCTGGGCCCTAGAAAGGCTATGCCAACAGTGGGGAATGCAACTGGAGGTTGCGGAATGCACTGTCAGGGCTGCGTGAGGTGGAGATTTCTAGAGAAAAGTTTGGGGAACTGTAGAGATTTAGAGAAGAGTAATTAGAGATGTGAATTCTGTGAAAACAGAAAATGAGGAGGGAGAAGTAGAATTGTCCGGTGAAAAGTGTAAGATCTTGAGAGAAAGCCGCTCCAAGGGGAAGACTCCCGAAGCAGTGTCAACAACAGTTTTGCGCTTTGAACCTGAAAGAAGACATAAGAAGACTGCAACAGCGAACTTGTTGAGGGTGTTCGTGTTCCTAAAGCTGAAGCGATGCAACATCCCCGCCAACTTGTTCGAGCCGTTTGGCTGTTGGGAACGCATGGCCTCTTTTAAATTTCCAGGAGCCAAATCACTACCGGGCTATCCTGTGGCGTACCTGGTGCTAACTTAGCTGTTACTCAGTTAAGTGAGCCTTGCCTACTCAATTAAGTAGTAGGGGGGCAGGCCTCGGTCGAAAAACCAGTGGCCGAATTAGGGAGGACAATTCAATACAATTCCTGCTTCAGAAGTACTTGTAGTTTCTTTGCACAAATGTCACAAATGGGTTTTACCGTGGCCACATATGCCGAATTGCTTTTGTCAAGTTGTACAATTGTCACGTACACACACATTTGTATATTATATATTATGTATATTCTACTAGCGATGGGGCCCCAACCTAATAGCAATGGCCTCTAAATCTTTGCCTTGTGGGTGCGTGTGTACGAAATGCCTTTGACTTTCCACACCGGTGAGGCTGCCGATTTGCGAGCATTGCCTTGCTCTCAATGCGTGCCGTGGTGCAAGACCGGCTGTCTCGTAGCTGTCAGTAGTCACAGGCCAACTCCAACAAGGGCATTAGCCAAGTTGGCCAAGTCCGACTCGGAGGCCCCTAAGGCACAGCCATGCTTTTTTTTGCTTTTCATGCTCTTTGTGCTCTTTGCATATGCTTTTTGGCTTTCATTTGCACGCTGTCCTGCCATTTGCACCAACATTTGCACCATGCCTGCAGGGGGAAGCTGCAGAGAGAATCGGCAATACACCTCCGCACAAGGTTTGCTAGACTGCGTTGTGCCGATTTTTTGGAGCATCTTTGGAGTTTGAAACGGTCGTTTTCTGTGCTCAGGATGTATTTGTATGTGCAGCGGAGCTCAGCCAGGACAGTGGGGTGGTAGGGATGAAGCTACAATCAAAAAGAGTCATACCGTCATGCCTTTGAGCGGCAGACTGTGAAGGAACAAAACGGATGCCAAAGTGCTATTCAAAGCCATTTGCCGAAAACAGATGGCCTTTCCAGCAAGGCATTCGCTAGTCTAGTCGAACTCGGAAACGCTACACAGGTGTTTCAGCGCATGCCTCAAAACCATCAATTTACAGTGTAAGCACAATATACACCCATGTAATGAGGCAACTTACGTGCTTACTCCGCACAATTTCTTCCAATCCTTGACTGGCCTTTGCAGGCTGGAGTTGCCCAGCAATCAAAAGGAAGTTGGATGCCGCCTGTCTGTTTCTGTAACGATTCCAACAGCCTTAGGAACAAACCTAATGGACAACATTTGAGGCACAATCCGTGCCAAAACCGGCCCCAGTGGTCCCCAAGACTGCGTGTTGAACTCAGAGAGCAGAGCTTGGAAGGCTTGAGAGAGTGGAGTTCTGCGGGTTCTGTGTGTATCATTGCATTTTGGCATTTCCCTTCAACGTCGACCTGGGACCGTTTCTGGTGAGTTGCTGCTCTGGGAACGATCACGTCACACCGATAACGATATTTCTTTTGTTCCTCTTTCGCGCACCATAGGCTCTCGCCCGCTGCACATGTATCTAATTTCGAATTGGCATCAGCCGTGGAAGTCAGGTTCTCCAGGTGCGTTGTAGTCAAAACAACGGGTCAAGTCCTCAACCGCATTAAAGAAAGACCTAGGGACTTCAGCTCTGACATCCTTGTCACCTTTATTCTGGCCTGCTTCCACGATAGCACACAAAGCACGACACAGTCCCGGTGGGTATTCTTTCAGGACTGAAGTCTGTCAGGAGCCGTCAGCATTGCGCCCTCTAGTGATTCTCGCTGGAAGGGGGGTTGTACGCATCGACCATAGCAGCTTCTGATTGTCTTCCGCACCATGAACTACAAACAACGTGGTCGGTTTAGGGGTGAGGCCACCGTAGTGACCTTGAAGCAGTTCCACGAGTTGACACTGAACAAACTTCAAAAATCACTTCACAATGTCAAGCCGCCAGATGCTTGGCGAATTGGGCCGGTCATTCGCATCAGACGGGTGTTCAAGGATAGCCGTGGCGCCATATGGACTGGGCTCAAAAAGCCCTACTTAAAACATATGAAATATAGATAAACGTAAACTATTTAAGGTTGGAGATATGTTTTTAAGTATTCGTTTAGAAGCGGGCCCCCAGCAGACTATGGTGATACAGCAAGGCAGCGCTAGATTGGCGCTAGGTTGGCGCTAGGTTTCTTCGTAACAGGATAAGCAAGCAGGAAAAAGAAGAAGCAAGACAAGAAAGAGGAGAAGCAAACAAGAACAAGAAGAAGAAGAAGAATGCACAACAAGAAGAAGACAAGCAAGCATGAAAAATAAGAATCTGACAGGATAAAGAAATCGACGGAGCTTTTTGCACTAGGCTGGCGCTAGATCCGCGCTAGCGCCGCGCTAGACGACTGTCCATTTCTTGACCACTTGCCCATCCAACACCCAAATCTTTTGAGTCAGCTCTTACTTCCTATGCCGTTCTGAAGATTTCTGAGAACAAAAAATTGGAAACAACTGCAGAAGTCTAGCAGCAGCAACAACAACAGCTCCAGCAGCTCAACGGGCCCCTGAAAAGGTCCGCGCTAGACACCCCTCACAGTTTTTGCAGCTGACATGCCTTCATGATTAACATCCCCTGTGCTTTGAGTGTGGTTCGAGTTTAAAGGAGGTTTAGAAGCGGGCCCCCATGGAACTGCGATGAGTGCACCATTTTGGGGAGAGACATTTTGGAAACTAACCATATAGCAATACACAGACAATAAATAAGTATACATACAGCATATATGCACGTATGTATGTCAATGTTTTTTATTTATCCTGTCCTGTCCTGTGCTGTCCCTCCCTCCCTCCCTCCCTCCCTCCCTCCTCGCTCCACATCATGAGTCAAAGACACTACAACAACACCTTACCACATCACAATCAGCACGCTACACTTCACATCACATCAAAGATTGACACTTCACCACAGCATGTGCATGATGCACTACACAAATCTCCTCACAAGACTTCACACACAACACCGCACAATCGCCACCCACCTACGCTTCCCGTCACCGCGCAATGTTGCTCCTCACCGCCACATGCTTTCACAGAAGCCAAATCGCCACACTACACTAACACGGTCACCGCCATTACAAAATACATGTCTATTTGTTGCAAGGGCTTGTGCTCATTGTTCGCTGGGCGTTGTTTCGATATGTTCTTTTTGCGTTCAATCGTAGCCCTAAATTGTGCTGCATTTCAATGAACGCCACTCCTATGTACAATGGAAAGTGAAGAAGCTTCCAGACTTCAAATCAATTCTTGAGTTTGCCGTTTCCCTGCCCAAATTGACAGAACCTGGAGCATCTCCAGGGAGCATGACAATATGGTGAGCTTCTGTCAGCGTGCATAATGTGTATGCCAGACTATGACGTAGATGAGGTAGCAACAAATAGCTGCCCATGATTAAAATCATAGCATCAACATGCATCAACCCTGAACCATGTTGAACGTTGAACCTTCGCAAATCGCAGTAAGCCCAAACACTGAAACACTTAGAGAGACATGTAGTGAGAGACTGCAGAAGTATACTGTTTTGACGCTTGCGTGGAAACAGCAGCCCTCTCTTCAAAGTCACGAAACCGGTTTAAGGTTCACTGATGTCTCTTCATGACCTGCGGAGACCCGCGTGACTCCTAATGACTTTGGCGTCATCGGTATCCCTTCCTGGCCATCCGGATGGAGAGTGCAAAGATGTGCAAAGCATGTTTTGCGAGAGGCCTTCTGAATACCTTTGAGTCAGCCTCCTTTGGACTACCTTCTGAAAGGCACTGGGGGAGGTTATTGAGTGGGTTTTGAGAGAGGTTGCGCAGGTGGCGGTTTCATATGTGTGGCTGAGACTTCGGGATGATTTGATGCAGAACAAAGGTGGGGGTGTCCCCAGTTTGAAGGGTTTTGTAGGGCCTGGGCAGCGCCAGTGTGAGGGCCAGGGCCCGACAATCGCAAGAGGTTCCAAATCGAGATCTTGAAGACATTAAATGTGGTGCCTTTGATGGCCGACGAGGTGGAGTCGTTCAGCAAACAACCGACACCCGTTTTCAACTACAAACCCCTCAAAACAGGTCCTCGACGCATTGACGACGCCAACATAACATGTCAGCTTGATGTTTTCATGAAGGTGGACGAGATGCCAGCAAATAGCTTAAGGCAAGGTTTGGGGCAGCTTTGAAGGCCTTGGCCTAGGGGCCTAGAGCATGGATGCCAAGCACCTTGAGAGCTTCGTGCAGCGCCTCGCAGGGAAAGCAAAAGGGTATTTGTTTAGGAGACTTTAAGGAACCTAATAGCGGTGGCCTCCATCCTAATAGCGGTGGCCTCCCAACCTACTGGCGATGGCCTCCACCCTGGTAGCCGGTGAAGACCGGAGGGAAGCCGAGCAATTGGGGACATCCTTGGCAGCCTTTGTTCATGGCTTAGCTTCGCGGCATGCAAGTGCCAGCGTTGCAGTGACCCCCTTATCTGCGCACGGACGTGCTTTGGCCATGGGAGGCTTTACAACTTTAAAACATGTGACACTCTCCCTTGCCTGTGTATCCACATTGCGTCACAGCCCGAGTTCTCACCTAAAGGATGCTTGCAGTTTTTTGACAGGTGCAGATCTGTTCAAATGGTTGCTCTGATTTCGCACATGGCCTCGTGCGTAACTGTTTTGGAGGGCTCATGGGGCCAGAAGCAGCGAAAGCTGAATGTACCTGGACTGAAGCGTTGCAAGAAGCCCTTGAAGAGATGACGCCAGCAGCCCATGCTCGCCACCGCCGCCTATTGACGTGCTCGCCTGCCATGCCACCACCAATGCAAGCTGGGTTTGCTTTGAGAACACAGTTGTGCTCGTGATTAGCACGCGTGGCTGGTAAACTGCGCGCGGTGGCGAAACGTTTCGACATGTTGAAGATTAATTTCCAACAGCCAGGAATGCGCGACTCTCCTCACCCCTGTGAAAAAGACCGAATGCGGCGGCAAAATGTGCCGTCGCTTTAACTGATGCAAATTCTTAATACATTGATGAAGCTACTAGGGGCTCCTGGCCTTACAACTAGGAGCAAGGACGCTACTAGGGGCTCCTGGCATCGCTACTAGGAGCATTCTTACTACTAGTATTGATGAACAAATTCTTAGCGAAAATTGTGCACCTGACACCTCACATTGCAAACCGCCGCTTCACGAACCACCACATCACACATCATCACGTGAACCGTCGTTATTGAAGTATTCACCACACTTGTTTCAAACACACACACACAAGTTTATAGTGTTTGAAAGCTTCCACTCACCACCTTTGCTTATGGCTTATGGAAAGTCTTCGACGCTGAGCAGTACTAAGGTCACCCAGTGCAACCGATTGCAAGACTCGTGCAGCAGCAGTGGGTGTGATGCCAAGTCCGCAGTCTGGAGTTGTAAAACGATGGGTGTAAAAAAAAGTCCTGGGTCATATATTCCAGAGCTCCTGCGTCATCAAACCAATACGTACAAAAGTAGCCTTGGCACGCGCGCATTTATGTTGTGAAATTAGACTTAATGATTTCAGAAGGTACTTGCGCGTTCACCAGCCACTTTTTGTCCTTGACGCGATGCATTTTATTTCCTATTTTTTTGGGCGGTTATGTAGTTATGTAGTCCACGAGTCTTATGCCATCCTGCTGTGAACTGCATTGGGCACCCTGATGACTTAGACGTCGTCGTGCAGCACAACTATGCACGACTCCTATGTTAGCCCAGCCTATTCTTACACGAGTATCGAACAAAACCTCCCATGTACAATTTGAAGAGATGTTAATGTAAGACGTCCGTGCGAAAGGCAAACACACAGTGGCAAAAGATTTGCGGAAGATGCCCCAAACTTTTCAAACACCAAAGCTTGCGAAAGTGTCTTTTTCGTTACCAGCAGGCATTCATGTGTGCAAGTAATGTATGTAAAAAACATCGCGTGGTTCATGTAGAACAGCCCTGTCCGCGAAAGCTTGCGAAAGTGGTTTTGCACAGAAGCATCCATTAGAATCTAAGAACAAATTCCGGATGGGTTTTGAACAATGCTCACGTCATTAGCCCCAAGTAATATCGGTTTGTTTTGTGCTGATTTTTTTCACTTGAGCCAGAAAAAAAGGGGTGGGTTGATGTAAAGTAGATTAAAGTAGTATTGTGGGATCCTTCGTTCAGAATTCCACGCACCGCCGCAGCTATTTCTGATGTTTTCTGTCTTTGTGGAATGTGTCATTTAGCGGGGAACGACCCTCCGGACGACATCCAAAACGACATTGGAACGACCTCCTTAATACGTACATCATGTATTTGCTGCTGCTGCTTGTGCTCCTTCTGCTGCTGCTGCTCCTTCTCCTGCTGCTGCTCCTCCTACTGCTGCTGCTGCTGCTACTGCTGCTGCTGCTGCTCACTTTCGATGGACAGTATATATTTAGACAGATTTCTCGGCGAAAAAACGACCCCTGAACGACCTCTGAACAAGTCTTGTCCTTGATTGTTTTTTTCCTACATTTGTGTGTGTGTGTGTTTCCTTTTTTTCAGGTCTTTGGCTTGCCCGGAAGGCCATTTTACGCTGTTCCTTTGGTAATGAGGCATTCCAAAATAGTCGAAATCGTTCTGAATCAAGTTGCGTAATTATCTTGAAACGATGAGGATTCCAAGGTATGGGTTTCCCTCTCAATTTTGCAGTTCGTGTGAGGGCTGCGAGCTGGATGCCATGGAGAAAGGCAGCACTTATGCAGTTTATGCAGCGCCCGCTGTCGTCGTGCGACTGCTCAGGCGGTCAGTGGTTTTCCACTTGAGATTGCAAGGGCGCCATGCCCGCCGACATCTCTCAGCTGGATCCCATACCAACCCAATATCCTCAAGGCTAGCCGGCCGTGTTTGTTTTGGTTTGGAGTTTGTGTGGAACGGATTTGTTCGCAGATTCCCGGTGCTAGCTGGGCTCCTCCTGCGCAGCTCAGCTGGTATGCCAGAACATTCCGTGTCCGGATTGAAATTACCTTTTGAACTCGTACCATGAGCTTCTCTGAGGCTGCCCCTCTCAGTGTGCGAGGCGAAGATCAAACTTGCTCAAGTCATCAAAGCTCTTCATAATAGTATAATGATTGGGGTGGAGATTTTGTCAACGGCCAACGGAGTAATTTCTTCAGCTATCCTGCTCGTCATGACGCAAAGTCCTGAGTCAACCACGCACGCCTGCTCCAACGGTCATGGATCTGGACGTGTTTCCATTTTCTTCTCTGCGGCTGTGCCCTCCTCTGCCTCATTTCCACCTTCCCTGCTTTCTCCTAGCCGTAGCCTATACTCTATGCCACTCTGTGCATGGAGGTGTGGTCGTATGGCTGATGAAGCCATGGGGGTTATACGGTAATGCTTTTTAAATATGTGGTGTCCTGGCCAGAGCTATCGGCCCCGGAGGTAGTCTAAAATACCTGTTCCCACCGTGTATTTAAAGGGTCTGGCCGGGCCCCGTATTTTTAAAATGTAGACGGATCCCTGTTGACATTTCTTCTACAAAAAGGGAGAGCTTGAGGCCCTTACAGAGGGGTCATGTTGTAACGAGGCAGTTTTTGGCACCTACGGAGCCCGATTTTTTTTGAGAAATAACTTTGTTTTCTGCCCAGCAACTAGGTCGATTTAGCTTTTCAAACCCTCTCACAGGAAGTAGAACTCATCAAGGACTCTTAATACTTTCAGGGCTGCACGCTGTATGGGGAGGTGCCACACCACCAAGGCCACCGGGACCACCAAGATCAATCACCAAGAGCACCACCAATACCGCCTAGACCGCCACAATCACCGCCAAGACCACCGGGACCACCAAGACCAGAGACACAGAGACCACCAAGACCGGACCACCAAGACCACCAAGGCCACCGGGACCACCAAGACCACCAAGAGCACCACCAACACCGCCTAGACCGCCACAATCACCACCAAGACCGCCAAGACCACCTCCACCAAGGCCACCAGGACCTAAGACCACCAAGAGCACTACCAACACCGCCTAGACCGCCACAATCACCACCAAGACCACTAAGGCCCACCGGGACCTCCAAGACCACCAAGAACACCTCCAACACCCCACATAATAGATTAGATAGTGTATTTGAGCTTAGTGCCAAATGGATTCCGTGGCAAATATGCAATTAAGCTGACCGTATATTAAAATCGTATATCCATTCCGTATGTTTAAAATGGTCTGGCCGGGCTGGCAAAAACCGTGCCGGAGGTAGTCTAAAATATCTGTTCACTTGTTTAAAAAATCGCAAATTTAAACAGCGATGCCATACTGTATATATATATATATTTATATATTATGATATTATATATCGAAAGCCAGCCGATAGGCAAGGCTTGAGGTTGATGGCACGAATGAGGTTAGTAAAGGGGGTGTGGGGGGGGTGGTTGCCAGATGGACACGTTTGGAGAGGCTGACCCAGAGCCTGGTGGGGAGAGCGAAAAAAAGATGTTGCCAGGAGGTAGTGAAAATGAGTGTTTTTTTGGGGGGGGTGTTGTGATGCAAGTGATGTGATAGACGCCGAGCTGTGCATCATTAGCATCACGAGGGGCTCAAGAGGCCATGTAAACTGTCATTACTGGGGGTGGGAGTTCGCGTCGATGAGAGGAAAGGGGAGACAAGGGGACGTGAAAAGTGGTTGGAACTCATCCCATACTTGAGAGCAGGAAAGAGAACAGATTGCAGCCGTGGGCTAGCTTAGCGCTGCTTGGGGGCGCGCTTTTTTAGTTCCCAGACTGAAGAGGGCACCCCCTATGCGGCGGGAGTTCACGTGGATGAGGCAGGCACAGCGCCGCCGGAAGGTCTTGAGTTGCTTGGGGGGCTGTTGAGGGCAGGAGAGAGGACAGATTGCAGCGGGGCAAGCGTTGGGGTGCCCTTTTTTACCCGTGGAAAGGTCCAGTTGTCGGACTCATCTGTTGAGGGCAGGAGAGGGCGTTGGAGGCGGAAGGTTTTGCTTGCGTTGCTTCGGGGTGCCTGTGTGTATCCTTGGAAAGGTTTAAGTATCCGACTCAAAAGGACTTCCCATATGGGGTGCACGATGCCATCTGTTCAGGGCATGCGAGAGAACAGATTGCAAGCGTTGGAGGCAGAAGGTTTTGAGTTGCTTCAGGGTGCCCTTTGTTATCCGTGGGAAGGTCTAGTTGTCGGACCCAAAAGGGCACCGCAGATGATGTGCGTGATGCCATCTGTTGCGGGCGCGCAACAGAACAGATTGCAGTGGGCAAGCGTTGAAGGGGGCGCCCCTTTTGACAATCAAGAGGGCTGGTTGCTGGACTCCAAAGGGCGCCCCAATTTGGGGTGGGAGTGTCTGCGAGTGAGACAGGTCCGGAGGACCTCCCCTTCGCCCCCTCCCCTTCCATGTAAAGTGTCTTTTCTAGGGGCGGGGTTCACGTAGATGAGAGGAAAGGGGAGACAAGGGGACGTGAGAAGTTGAACTTATCCATAAAGAGTCGCGAGCAAGCTTAGCGTTGCTTGGGGGGCACTCCCTACGCGTGGGAGTTCACGTGGATGAGGCAAGCACAGCGGAGGCGGAAGGTTTTGAGTTGCTTGGGGGGCTGCGTTGGAGGCGGAAGGTTTTGAGTTGATTGGGGGTAGGCGTGGAAAGGCCTAGTTGCCGGACTCAAAAGACCACCCCATATGGGGTGCATGATGCGATCTGTTGAGGGCACGCGAGAGAACAGACTGCTGTGGGTAAGCGTTGAAATGCTAGGGTTGCCGGACTCAAAAGGGGCGCGTGATGCCATCTGTTGAGGGCAGGAGAGAGAGAGAACAGATTGCAGTGGGCAAGCGTTGGAGGCGGAAGG